CTTCTTTCCCTTTGGGACTGGTGCAGTGGTAAGAGATCGAGAAGTGCTACTTCTTTTCGGGGTAGTCCATTCCAGCAGACTGCCTTCTCAAAAATCCAAAGTGGACACCTGAGGTGTCTTAAAAAAAAATTTGACCGAAGAAATAAGACATTCTCTAATTGTGAGAAATGTAACAAAGCTTAATCACCCCTGGTTATCTACTTTCTTGCATGGGACTTGTAAATGAGGATTAGTATCTAAATCCAGTGGCGTAACGTAAACCCCTCATCGCAGGGTGGGGAGCAGAATTCCAGGGGATCCTGAAATTCTGACGTCGTCAAATACATATAGTTTTGCAACCCTTTTAGATCCGGGTTGGGGCGCAAAACCTGACTCTGCAGGGGGCTAATATTCACCTTTACGCCACTGTATGAATCCCCTTCTTGTTTTGGATTTTTTGTCCGTTTATGGTTTCATGGATCTAGTTTAATCTACAGCTAACCAATTAGGATTAGCCACAACAAAATAGCTATTTAACAAGAGGAATGGTATAAAATACCGTAATCTTAAAGGATTTATCTATCTGTATTCATTCCATGTCCATAATGCGTACGGTGGATAAAAAAATTGTATTAATAAAATAAAATTCAGGTTCAAAATGCTTTATACAGTTCAAGTTTCCCTACATAGAGCACTAATATTTATAAGAAATTTCTTTTCTTTCTTTTAATTCCAAAAATAGAACATTTTTTTCAGATTTCTGCTCCAGAGATCTACGTCTTGATTAAATGATTTTAATCCTGTTTAATCCTTTTAATAAAAATGCTGGTTATAAAAATTTTAATTTGCAAAGCGTCAGGTTTGAATTATCTCGTAAGAATTATATTATAAACTGCTCGGCACACACAGTCTTTGAAATGAGTTTGAACGGAATAAATGGAATCAACAACTTGCATTAATACAGAAATTCTTACTCTAAGCGTGTTCTTTCTAAAGAACTAAGAAAATCATTTTAATTTAATTTTTAATATTTCAATCTGTTAACTGATTTCAGAGCGTTGACATTGTTGTGGTTTTGAAATGGCCAGTAAAGATTTCTTTTTCTCAGAAAAATATTAAGCTCTTTTTTTTGTTGTTGTGTCTGTGCCATTTTTTAAAGCTGCAGAATAATTTAATGATAACAGTGAAAGGTCAATTAAGAATTGAAGACCGCAAGAAGCGAAGTGAAGAGAGATGTATTCTGGGATGATTTTTAAGCAGGAAAAATGAGCGCGCGTGTATAGATGTCATTGAATATTTTGATGAAGAATTAAATAATTTAATACTTTATTTCTTTGCAGACAAATTTGTTGTTTAATTTTATTAATTTATCAGATTAATTCTCTTTTTCAATTCCTACTATTAGCTCACACTCTCTAAATATTTATTTATTTATTTATCTTGGTGGAATTTTCAATCGTTAATAAAATGCATTTTAAAGCGCTCCATTGAGCTTAAATTTTGTATACATGATTATTTTAGATGACAATTAATTATAATTAATAAAAATTAATTGATTAAAACTAATTATTTAAAGAATTACAAATACATCCACGTTGGCATCCTTTTTGGCGACTTGGGTCAAAACTTTAAAAGGTTTTTTTCTCACGTTTTAAAGCATTCAGTTGAACTGAAATTTTATATGCATGATTGTTTTGGATGACAATACGATACTTTAATGATAATTAATAAAAATTAATTACCACTTAATGTTGTGCTTCTATCATATGTATGTGTATATATTTATATTGATTGTAACTATTTAATAAAAAGTAGCTAAAATAAAAATTTTCTTTGTTGATCTAAGTAGGAATTGACTTAATTTTTTTTATTACTTGTTCAGTGAAAGGTCTTTTTTTTAAAATAGCGTCAGCAGCAATTTTTATAAAATACTTGTTACATTAATGTTTTATGTAAATTATGAAGTGAATGAGGTATGTAACAATAATAAATTTAAAGAGCGTTATTTTATTTATTTATTTATTGTTATGTGTCGATATGTCGAGAGCTTATCTCTAAACACATTGCACTAATCACAGGAAGAATGGTGAAATCAATTATACTCATGTGTTAGTAATTGTTTAAATTGGTGTCACTGTCTTCACCAGTTTTCTGTTACCCACTTTTCCCCCCATGTTTTGCCCTTAACTGTGTGTTTCTAATAAATGTTTTCCAAGTGATCCAATACATAAAGAACACTGCATAATTTTTAAAAAAATTAGAATTTAAAAATTGAAAATAAACTACAAAACACATTAGTTGGAAAACAATGATTTTTTAAATATTTTTTTAACCGACACAAATTAAGAGTGCATCATGACTGAAAATAGTTCAGGATTTGCTATAAATTATTTACTCTGTTGAAATTTCATATTTTATCGTTAACTTCCTTTCTATCAATTTAAAGGAAATTTCTTATCTAAAATTAAATATTGCAAAGTGAAACACACAATTTGAGGAAACCTCTATGTTTACTCTAAGAGATTAGATTAAAAAGAAATCAAAAATACTGTCCTAATTCTATTCTGACAAAGTTTCCTTTAAAACGCTTTAAATGTTTAATCTTGGTGAATAGAATGAACGTCAGATTTATAATTATTAAAATCATAACTGTAACTATTTATTATGATCCATATATGGTGGAGTCAGTGAGTGGATATTAACGCTTTGCACTATTTAGCTACTCGAGGCTTTTGGCGACGGACCTCGTAATTTTGAACCATGGTCAAGTGACGAGGACGGCACTTATATACGTGGCGGAGAGATAAACTGAAACTAAAACACATCTCTCTCTCTTTTCTCAATTATTACTATTAGTCACTATCTCCTTATATACGAGGGTTGGGGCATAAGTCATGGCAACTATTTTTTTCTTGTAGATATGTGAACAGATCACAAACGTATATGTGTCATGTGGAAGTTCTGCAGGCATAGTGTGTATGCAGAACAACCAGTGGCGCACACAAGGGGGAAGGGTCCTAGGGGTCCGGACCCCCCCAAAGCCCTTGATTTTTTTCCCGATTGATTATATTTCTAAGTATATAGTACGTAAAATTTAATTAAATATTTGTTATTAATGATTAATTTCATTAATTAATGCTAATTATTTATTCAATAATTAGTTTTTTACTGTTTTTTGTTCCCGAAAATCAACAAAATCGAAAGGAGCATGATACAAGCATGATACAACTTTCGACCCCCGGACCCGGAAATTTCTGTGTGCGCTACTGAGAACAACAGATGTCTCTGTGATAGCTGGTAGTAGCGCAGCGAGGGCTGTGAAATCAGTCAGTTGATAAGTGTCGCGTGAGATGGAAGTAACCCGTGTTAAGCAGCGCGCTTACATCAAAATAGCCGTTCTCAAAGGGAGAAATTCGTCCAGGGACTTTGATTTCATTTCCAAGATTAAGGAACCAATACGTGGTAGACGGTTTGCAAAACGAGAGGACATTGCTAATGCTGTGCGCCAACAGATGAGCTGATTCACACACGGTGCGGCAAATGTTGAGGCTGGTGATATTCAGCGCCTCCCACATCGTTGGCAGCGTGTGGTGACAGTAGCAGGGGAATACATTGAGAATGTTTAGGCCCAGGTTTGTCATGTCAACTTTATGTGTACTGTGTTGTCATTCTTTTGCACAGTGAAAGCCATAGTGCCCTGTATATATATACTACCGTAATAAATTAGTGTGTTACAATATTTCAGTGCTATTCATTGTCCACTCATGTAGTAACACCTTTTCCTTTCGTTTCCAACCAGGCTGATACCTTTAAGAAAAAAAAAGTTGCCATGACTTTTGCCCCAACCCTCGTATATATATATATATATATATCTTGTTCACAAATTTTCAATCGTTAATGAAATACTTTCTATTCATCCATTCATGTTCAAATGCCTTTTTTAAAACTTGTAGTGGATGACACTTGATGCTAATACAGTTTTTTCAAATATTAATTCATTGATTAAATTAAAAAAAGGAATAAATAGTAACAAACAAAAATAACAGTCCAACAGCATATAGAAAGGAAATTCGTCCGATGTATCCCTGTAGCGCAATGGATTGCGCGTTGGACTTCTAATCTAAAGTTGTGGGTTTGAATCCCAAGAGGGAAGGCCTAATTTCTGAGAATGTGATTTCTTTTTTACTCTATATACTATTTTATTAAAATAATTAAATTTAATTAAGGAATAAAAAGTAAACAAAAAAATATAGTCCAAAACCCTATATAGAAAGGAAAATGGAAAATTGCAAGGATAATCGCTTTCTATTTTGTTACTTAATATTGTAATTCTGTCATATGTATATACATATTTATATTAATTGCAACTATTTTAGAAAAAGTTAACTAAAATAAAATTTTTCTTTGTTGACCTAAGTACGAATTGACTTAGATTTATTTTTTTATATTACTTGTTTAATACTTTTTATCCAGGAAATATTTTATTTGAAAAATGGAAACGCGCGTGTTTGCTTTTTATTAATAAATTTTTTGCATAAAATATGTGAAAATCAGAATTAAATTCTGTTATAGCTTCCTTTACAGACATTTTATGGACGATGTAGTCTGTGGTCACGAACTCGTGGCCAGCGTATCATGTGTTCGAGCGCTAATGCCACTAAAGACCCGCAGTGTAAATGAGCTTAAGTACGTTAAATCTGTCGAGGCTGAAAGTCCTCTCGTCAGCTTGATGTGGAAGCTCGGAGAGGGGATCCAGTTCACAGGTGTAGTCCTTGACCGTTCTTCAAAATTATGAAGTCCATCGCCGGTAAACCTCGTGTCACTTTAGAGTACGACGTTAATATCCCCTCACTTTTTAGGTATTTTAACAGTTTTTTTTTTAGCTTTCCAAGCTTTTTGAAAATACGCTTGTCAGTGGTGTTGCTAAGGCGTAAGCAAAAAATTCGGACATGTTAAATTTTTTAAAAAATGTTTTTGTTTCGTATAAATTATTAAATTGTTTCCGTATAAATTATCCCCGTATAAAAAAAACTGTTTTAAAATAAATCGTCTTTTTTTTCAGATTTAGTATTCTACGAGTAAATAAAACAAAATTTCTACTGACGGATAAAAATATTTCTTTTTTCACCGCCATATAACACGATTCAAAATTAATCACACATAAAAATTTAGTTTTGTGTTGATGTTTAAATAAACAATAGCATTTGTTTCATTTAAATTAAACGAATTTCAAGTATTAATGTAAAAACTAAATAGAATTCGTGTAGTGGGTTATAAAACACGTGGTATAAAAATGAATATAATAACAAATTGAAGCAGTTGGAAGTAGATTACCACCATAAAACATACACAAAGTAATAAAAAAGAAAATATATCAATAATTTTATTAAAAACTCCTCCGAGAGTTAGTAATATAGAGGGCTAGAGTAATCAGAATACAAAATGTATTTATTATAAAAAAAAAAAATTAGTTCCCCAGGCAGTGCCGGTTTATCCTTTGCGCTCTGGGGGCGGGCGCTAAGGGGCCTGGGGCCTGAATAAGCTGTTCTTAACCAGATTTTCTGGTAATAAATTTCGATCCTCCAGTGCCAAGGAGGCCTGTAGATCTGCGCCCAGGACCCGAAATGAGCTTAAATCGGCACTGTCCCCTGTTGTGTGTGTGTAATATAATTTTTCAATTCCTACTATTAGCTCAGAATCTCTATACATTTATTTATTTATCTTGGTGGAATTTTCAATCGTTAAAAAAATACATTTTAAAGCGCTCAATTGAGCTTAAATTTTATATATAGGATTATTTTGGATGAGAATACAATAATTAAATTAGAATTAATAAAAATTAATTGATTAAAACTAACTATTTAAAGAATCAGAAATACAGCCACGTTAGCGTCAATTTTGACGATTTAGCGACCGTTTTGGCGACTTGTGTCGAAATTTGAAAAGTTTTTTCTCACATTTTAAAGCTCTCATTTGTGCTGAAATTTTCTATACACAATTGTTTTGGGTAAAAATACGATAGTTTAACTATAGTTAATTAAAATTAATTGAACGAAACTAATTATTTAAAGAATTACAGATACAGCCACGTTGATTTCATTTTTAGCGATTTGAGTCAAAACTTTAAAAGATTTTTTTTCTTACGTTTTAAAGTCATGCAGTTGAACTGAAATTTTATATACACGACTGTTTTGGATGACAATAGGATACTTTAATGATAATTAATAAAAATTCATTACCACTTAATGTTGTGACTTCTGTCATATGTATATACATATTTATATTAATTGTAACTATTTAATAAAAAGTAGCTAAAATAAAATTTTTCTTTGTTGATCTAAGTAGGAATTGACTAAAAAAAATTTTTTTATATCTTGTTTTTTATTTAATGACTTTTAACATATCAAGAGAGTAACTATGACTTCGAACGCAATCTCAGAAAGTCTAATTTTTTTTTTTTATATAGTAAACGTATGGAAACATCCTCAGCAAGATATAAACCCATATATCTTGTCCTTGATACAATAATAACAGAAAATCATATGGGGGAATTAGTTAAAATACGAGGAAAGGTTCTATATTGAAAGTATTACGGTTTTCAAAAGTAGATCAATAAGCTTAATATCACACAATTAATAATATTCAAAATTATTTAAACATTCAATCCAGCGTTGAACCCTAGGGGCTTCACCTTATTTTGGTGAGTAGTATCTTAAATCCCGAGGTGCCCTATGACTTTCACCTTTTCCCAGGGTTTATTACTTGGTAAACACGGGTGTCCCCGATATAGCCCTTCTTTATTTTTTTCGACCACTCCTTCTTGTTTTAATTTTTTTTTCGTCTAACTAAGATAAGTTTGGCCGGTTTAGCAAAATGGCTCTTGCGCCAATAACCCAACATTCACTCACTCACTCACGCCAGCGTTACAACTGCCGTGTCATGGATTCGAGTCTTGTTCATATCGAAGACCCTTCGTGCGGAGGGGCTGATGCACGTTAAATCTGCGAAGCATTGTCCTCGGGATAGCGAGATGTGGAACTTTGGAAAGCGGATACCAGCTCAGTCATTTAACCATGGTTCAAAATGACTTTGTCCGTCACCAAAAGCCCTCGTGTAACTTCTTAATGCGATGTTAATAACCAACTGATCAATTAGTACGTAGAATTACCCCTTCAATAAAATTGATCATTTCCTTCAATTAAAAATTGCCAAATCAATCAAACAAAATAATGCGCTGATTTCTACTTTAGAATACCATGGTCGATTAAACGATTGGCTTTTGTTTGGCAAGCGCCAGTCATTTTCACCTATCTTAATATTCGAAAGGGACAACAGCCTTTGTTGTTCCATATCCCACAAAACCTGTAACTGTAATATTCGGCAGGATAATACGTAATTGCCAATCAATCAATTAATCGTAGATGCAAGATTTTAGCATAGAAAACAAAAATAAAATTTCCGAAAGTTAGCAATTATAGGTTTTTTATACTTTGAGGTACATTAGACGTTTTTAAGTCATAATCGAAGGTACAAAGGAAAAAGCTGCGGTCAAGAGATAAATCGAGGAAAAAGTTGAAAATCTCTCTCTCTCATTTCTTTTATAGATAATTAATTGTGACTTTTTTTAACGAATTCAAAAATAACAAAAATCATTCTAATTTTAATTTACATTGTATTAAATGTATTATTTTTGTTCAAAACGTAAAATGGACAAATTGAATGCCAGAGAATATTTAAGATTCAACACAATAATTATTTCTAATTGATTGACATTATCATTAGCAATAGTATAAGAGTTATTTTAGTGATATAAGATTTTTTTTTTTAAAAAAAAAATGTGCAATAATTATTTTTTCTGGTTTTCGAGTTCCATCAATTCCAAATACAGGAAGGAAAATAATATAAAAAAATTGATAAACACGGAATTGTGTTTATGAAAGGAATTCTCAACTGTGAAGAAGTTTGAAAAATCGTTTGGTAATATATTTTCATTTTTGTATTCCGAATAATGCGATATTGAAAGTAAAAACTGAAGGGGCTAAACTCTTCTGATGTCATTAGTCACATGATAAATGCAATCACCTGTTAACAGCCATTCATGCATTTTGTTGACAACTTTTGCTTTTTGCAGAAACCTTCTTTTAAAAAGTACATATTTGTCTAAAATAGTAATGTGCAAAATACACTCATGATAAAGAATTTTTATTTAATCTTATGAAAACTTTCTAAGGAATCTTAATTCCAAATCATCTTTACCCAGTAATGGAATTCGAAATTTTATTTAAATTTTACAAGTAGAACAACAAATACAAGTAAATCTATTGTCAGTTTTGAATTCAATGGACAATGCGTGATTGTATTTATCATGTGGCCGTTATGAATTCAGCCCATTCTTCCAAATCTTATGGAAATAGAAATTAGCATTTCTATATTATGTTGAAATAAACAATTGTATATTCAAAGTTAATTAATAATATTATTGGTTTGCAAATCTGTCTTAAAATTTTTTAACTACATTTAAATTCATTGATCAAATTTTTATTTTATTGCAATTCTATTTGATTCGAATTCTATAAAGTCATGAATCAATAATCTTAACTTCTCTTTTTTTCTATATTTTAAATTTTATTATTACTTAATTGCAGTTCAAGAATCCATTGTCACATTTTCACGCGTTCATCAGAGTTCACGAAATTTGAGATTGGATTACAAGGCATAGCATTTTACAAAATTAAGAACAGATTAAAATATATTTTAATTACTTTACTTTAACTTAATTACACTCTATTTCTCCGTCAGGAAACGTGGTTTAATTATAATCAGTAAAAAACTGTAGTGTTTTGTTGTTGCCTCGCTTACGCTTAATTTTCAATCGAAGAAATTTTCAAATTTATAAATGTTTCGAGTTACACCATACAGCAGATGAGAATATTAACATATTTTAGTTATTTTCGTTTAATTCGCAGCAATTCTATGCTAGCTGCCAGATTTCAAAATTAATTTTATTTAGTTGCCGGTTCTTTATTAAGTCCATAACTCCAATTCAGACCTCATGGCCGCAGTAGTGGTCAAGGTAACGGACTCGTGGCCGGTGTGTCGAGTTCGAGCCTAGTACCACTGAAGACGCTCCATGTAGGGGAGCATTGCACGTTA